GGTGGGCGGGTGGCCAGGGGGCCTGGGCCAACCCCTCCGCTCTCCTCGCCAGCCCCCTACTACCCCGGCAACCCAGGCCCCGAGTCCAAGATCTCGCCGTTCTGGGTGATGCCGCCTCCCGAGGTAGGGGGACGCTCAGGGAGGTGGGGAGTGGGCGTTTGGGCCGGCGTGCCGGGCGGGGCCTGAGCTGCCCCCATCTGGGCACGCGTGTCGTCCCCGGAGGCGTCTGCCCGATCCTCGCACCCTCTATCCTCCCAGTCGGCCTTAGGGTCCCGGATCAGCTCCAGAAAGTCTTGGGGCCCCAGCCTCTGCTCGGCCTCCCTGGGGGGGTGATGCCACCAAGTCCTGGCTCCCGGCTCCCTGGCCCCACGTGGCTCTGAGCCACTGGCCTGTGTGTGGTCTCGACTCCCGGCCTGGCCCCGGCATCATGGGCTGGGGCCGCCTCCCTGACCGCCCGTGTCCCCGCCAGCAAAGACCCAGTGACTACGGCATCCCCATGGACGTGGAGATGGCCTACGTCCAGGACAACGTCCTGACCAGCGACATCCTCCACGAGATGGTGAGCTCACAGCGGGCGGGGTCAGTGGGGCCCGGGGAGCAGCGGCTGAAGGCACCACACAGGGCCTGGGTCAGCTCCCCTCCCGTCTCCTGCAGGACGGAGTCCCTGACCCCTGCTGCCTCCCGCTCCCTGCCTCTGTAACTGCCACTGACTCCAAGTGAAGCCCTGGGGGCCTCTGGTGACACCTGAACATTTATTTATTGAGTTGGAGTCTCGCTCTTGTCCCCCAAGCTGGAGTGCACTAGCACAATCATGGCCACCCCAGCCTCGACCTCCCGGGCTCACGTGATCTTCTGGTCTCACCCTCCTAAAAAGCTGCGACTACCGGTGTCACTGCCATGCCTGGCTAATTATTTTTTGTAGAGATGAGGTCTCACTATGTCACCCAGGCTAGTCTCAAATTCCTAGCCTCAAGCAATCCTTCTGCCTAGGCCTCCCAAAGTGCTGGGATTACAGGCTGAGCCACCAAGCCCAGCCTAGCGAAGACTTTTAAAGGCATGTTGGTACTAGAAGAGTTCGAGATCAGCTGGGCCACTTGGTGAGACACCTCTACAATAAATAAAAAACTAGCCGGGCATGGTAGCGCACGCCTAGAGTTCTGGCTACTCGGAAGGCCGAGGCGGAAGGATCGCCGGAGCCCAGCAGGTCGACGCTGGGGTGGCTGTGAGCGTGCCTCTGCTCTCTAGCCTGGGCGGCAGAGTAAGACGACGACTCAGAAAAGTAAAAATACAAATAAATAAAAGTTTGAGCTAGTTCATCAAACCTGTGACCTCCCAGGTGGTGTGGCTCAGTATGTGGCCAGACCTGAGGCTGCGTTGGGCCTAGGTGGTTCTGAGAAGGGGTTCAGAGAGTGAAGGGGGGCTGTACGTGGCTCGTTCCTACACTGCTACCTCCCCCTTCAGGGAGCCCTCCTGGACTTAGACAAGGTGGCCTCTGCCAAGCTCGCCCATGACTGCCTTTACGGTTTGTCTGTGGGGATGTGGGTTGTGTTTCTGACCACGAGACCCATGTGAGGCTGCGGCATGTTCCACGCGGGGCTGAGTTACACCACTCCTGTCCTGCAGATGCAGCTGGTGGAGTTCTACAAGGGCGCCCCTGACCTTGTGAGGTTCCAAGACCCCTGGGACCAGGAGCACACATACCTGGACAAGCTGAAGGTGACCTTACGCCACCCCCCAGCGGGAAGAGCTGCGGGGACTGCTTCGAGCCTGGCCACCGAGGGGTGTGGGTGGGGTCTTGGGGCCTCAAGCTCCAGAGCACAGGCGGCCAGAGCACAGGTCCCTGGGCTGGCTCCTTGGTGCTGCTCCCCGGGGACAGTTCCACAGTGCTGGTCGCCTCTGAGCGTCCCCTACTTCCCACCTTAGTGTCCCCCAGCAGGCACCTGCACCCCCGTGTGGCTGAGCTCTGGGTGGTAGGAGGCTGCGGCCTGCACCTCAGGGTGAGGAGCTGGGATGAGATGCCTCCCGAGGGCAGCCCCGCTGGGAGAGGCCGCTGAGCTGCAGCGCGGCTCTGGGCTTTGGCTCTCCAGGCCGCCGTGTGGGCACGACGGCCTCCACGAGGCAGGAGGGGGAGGCCGGGCCGGGACCTGGGCCCGGGCTGAGGTGCCACCCTGCTTGTTCCAGATCTCCCTGGCCAGCAGGACGCCCAAGGACCAGGGCGTGTGCCCCGTGCTGGAGCAGGTGTATGGAGTCCTCAGACAGGGCAGCTGAGGCGGCCTCCCCGGCCTGGTCCACCCCGTGGCCCTGGGGCTGGCCTGGGCTTCGCGGCTGCCTCGTTCTGTGTGAGGCAGCGATGCCGAGAGAATAAATAAACGGAAGCCTCGTTGTAAGCGTGCGTCCCCGAGGGTGGCGAGGGCCCGGGCCAGGTGTCACCGCACTTCCTGCACTAACCTCTAGGCGCCGGGGCCTCACCTGGTTCCACCCTGGCCCTGGCTCCTGGCAGCCGGGGTGAGCCCCCAGGCCAGCACAGCCCCCAGTTCTGCAGCTTGTCGGGTGGTGGGGCCCCTGGGGTGCAGGGACATGTGTGCACCTGGGGCTAGGTCCGCCTCTCCAGCCCCCTCCTGTAGGGTGTGGCCACGGGGAGGGGCCTCTAGTGTCAGGAGGGCCCCACGGATGAGAGGCTTGCCACGGGGACCGGTGTCCACTCCAGGGAACAGCACTGGGGGACCTGGGCTGACCCCGTGAGGAGGGTCCACGTGTGCTGGGCCAGGCCCGTCCACACACCAAGATGAAGCCAGGGCTATAGAAAGAGACATTTAATACTTTTTAAAAAACCCGGGCGCGTCCTTCCACTGGCCCGGCCTGAGCACAGTCGTGTGCTTGTCCTGGCTGGGTACTGGCCCCACCACAGCAGAGGGCGGGGGCCCGGGAAGAACAGAGCCCAGTGTCCGGGGGCCTTGTGGGGTCACTGGGGAGGGAATGTGAATGCGGCCGGGCCCAGGGGTCCCCATTCCACCCATTTTTGGATTAGGCACCGGGGTCCGGGGCCCTGCTGGTCTGGGCGGTCTCTGGGGCCCTGGGGCTGCCCGCTGTGGTCTAGGATGGCGGCCACGCCCCCCCCAGGGTGGAGGCAGCTCTGGAGGGAGGCCCAGCTGCCAGGGTTCCAGAACATCCGCTTATTGGAGACTGTGTGAACCCCGGCAGAGGGGGGCTGGGCCATGGTCCCACGGGGTGCGGGGGTGTGCGCAGCTGGGGGCAGCAGCCTGTGCCAGAGTGAGGCCTGCCTGTGTGAGGTGGGCAGTGGCAGGCTGGAAGGGGCTTGGCTTGGGGCGGGGACCTGGGAGCTCAGCCCTGCGGGAGGGAGAAGGCTCCTGGGAGGAGGTGAGTCAACCAAGGGCCGCCTCCGGCCCGGCCGGCCTCATCCCAGGCTTGAGGCCTCCCCCTTGCTCCCGGGGCGGATCTGTGACCCACAGGAGCCTGGAGCCCCGGAGTGGGGCCGAGGCCCACGGCCAGCAGCGGGCGGGAAGGGGGTTCGAGGCCAGGGCCCCCGCAAAGCCGCCCGGGCAGACGCAGGCCCCCCCTTGGTGAGGCCGTGGAGCCACTGGAGGAGGAGGGGCCGCCTGGGAGGACCTTAGTGTTTCTGCGAGCACCTTAGTGTCAGCCCCGCACGCCTCGGCCAGAGAGCAGAGGGGGCCGGCCACGTGGGGAGTCCCCACCGAGGGCGAGTGCTAGTGTAAACAGGGGCCTGCCCACCCCGCGGTGTGGCCCCACTGGGGGGACCCTGAGGGCCAGAGGCCTCGAGGCGGGGCCGCGCAGAACGCAGGAGGCAGCCGGGGGCGCCGGCACTGCGGATGGCGAGGGCGGCGCCTCACTGCGGCAGGGGCACCAGCACCTCCACGTAGCTGAGGGGGAAGAAGCCCGACTGGCCGTCCAGCATGCCCTCGTACCAGTTCTCGTCGATCTGGTTGGTGAGCGTGATGACGTCGCCCTCGCGGAAGCCCAGCTCCCCGTCGTTCTCGGGCTCGAAGTCGTACAGGGCCTTGCAGCTCGGCTGGTCCAGGGGCGCTGGGTGGGGCGGGCATGTGAGGGGCCAGCGTGGGCACTGAGGGGGGCTCTGCCCAGTTGCCAGCCTCCCCTCTCCCCCCTGGCCCAGCCGGCCCTAATCCCACCCTGCGGTGGGGTCATCAGGTGGGCGGGAGACGGACGGAGCCGCAAGTGGTCACCACAGCGGCTCCTGGAGGGGCGGGGGACGTTGGAGAGCAACCAGATGCCCTCAGCCCCGTGGCCGCCCACGCGGAGCCCAGCCAGCCTCTCGGCCGCACAGCCAGGCCGAGGCACCTGTGCCCTGTGGTGCCACCGCGCCCTGGCCTCGCCGCCTGGCTCCTGCCCCACGGGGATGGGCAGAGCTCAGGCCTGGGGACCCACGACCTCTGCAGGAGCCGGGAGGGCCAAGACCTGCCAGAACAGACCGAAAGGTGGCGCTGCAAGCTGGGGCTTGCCGGGGGCGGGGAGCAGGGGACACTCACGCATGCTCCTGCTGGGCGTCCGCATGGGCTTGTCGGACGCTCGGAACGACGCAGACGCTGCTCGGAGACACAGCGGGAGGGGCTGAGCAC